TTACTGCTCCCTATACACCACAGTCTAACGGGGTAGCTGAACAAAAGAATAGAACCCTAATGGACATGGTAAACTGTATGTTACTCAGTTCAGGAGCACCTAAAAATCTCTGGGGTGAAACCCTTCTTTCTGCTTGCTTCATTCTCAATAGGATTCCCCAGAAAAATTCTGATACAACTCCTTATGAATATTAGAAGGGAAAATCTCCTAATTTGAACTTCTTCTGGGTTTGGGGTTGCTTGGCTAAAGTAGCTATTCCCGAACCTAAGAAGAGGAAAATTAGTTCTAAGACTGTAGATGTTGTTTTTATTGGATATGCACTAGATAGCAATGTTAACATATTTCTAGTCATCAACTCTGAAATCAGTGACATATCCAACAATACCATCATTGAAACAAGAGATGCGGTCTACTTTGAAAACATCTTTCCTTTCAAATCTAAAATCTCAGAAAATCCCAGATCATCTCTTCCTTCTGATCTACCATCTTCTAGTTCTTCTCAACCTCTTGATATTGAACCTCGAAGAAGCAAAAGAGGTAGAATCAAAAAGGATTTTGGAGAAGACTTCCTAACCTTTTTTGTTGAAGGTGATCCAAGCTTATTCCAAGAAGCAATGGATTCACCTGAATCTCCTTTCTAGAAAGAAGCCATTGATAATAAAATTAAATTTATCATGGAAAACCATACTTGGATACTCACAGAATTACCTCCAGGTGGTAAACCAACTGGTTGTAAGTGGATATTCAAGAAGAAACTCAGAGCTGATGGTTCCATAGATAAATTTAAAGCTAGATTAGTAGCTAAAGCTCATACTCAACAAAAGGGCATTGATTATTTTGATACCTACTCTCCTGTAGCTCGAATATCTACTATCCGAGTATTATTAGCCTTTACTGCTATCCATAAGCTGATTATACATCAGATAGATGTAAAGACTGCTTTCCTAAATGATGATTTAGATGAAGAAATCTATATGCACCAACCTGAAGGCTTCATTGCCAAGAATCAGTAAAATAAAGTCTGTAAGCTTGTTAAATCTTTGTATGGTCTTAAACAAGCTGCTAAATAATGGCACCAGAAATTTGATAACGTCATTGTACAATATGGCTTCACTGTGAATGAACATGATAAATGTGTCTATTCTAAAGTGATAAACAATGACTATGTCATTCTCTGTCTCTATGTTGATGATCTCATTATCTTTGGAACAACACTTGAATTAATTTCAAAGGTTAAGGATTATCTTTTCAAAAACTTTGATATGAAAGACTTAGGTCTTGTTGACATGATACTTGGAATGAAAATCACTAGGGACACTAGAGGAATATCTTTGAGTCTTTCCCATAGCATTGAGAAAATACTAATCAAATTCAACTTTCATAACTCTAAACATGTTTCCACACCTTATGATTATTCTATATCCTTGAAGAAGAATGAAGGTGAACCTGTCACCCAGCTGAAGTATTCTCAGCTGATTGGATCTCTTCTTTACATATCCAATCAGACCAGACCCGATATAGCTTATGCTATAGGGAGACTGAGTCGGTATACTAGCAACCCTAGCAAAGATCATTGGACTGCCTTAGAAAGAGTATTCAAATATCTAAAAGGCACAATTAACTATTGCTTGACTTACACTGGTTACCCTGATGCTATAGAAGGGTATAGTAACGCCAACTGGGTCACAGATTCTAACAGTGTAAAGTCTACATCTGGATATGTATTTCTTTTTGGTGGTGCAGCTGTATCCTAGAAATCTTATAAGCAAATTGTAATTGCCAGGAGCACTATAGAGTCTGAATTGATTGCTCTTGATACTACTTGCACAGAAGCCGAATGGTTAAAAGATCTTCTCTCTGAACTTCCTTTGGTCCCTAAACCCTCTCCTCCTATTTCCATTTACTCTGATTCTAGATCTACCCTAGAGCTTCTAAAGCAAGTACATATAAATAAAAAATATAATAGACATATTCAAATAAGATATAAATCTGTACAATGCCTGTTAGGCAAAGTTGTGATCTTGGACTTTGTAAAGTCTGAGAAAAATCTTGCTGACCCTTTGACTAAGGGATTGTCCAGGAGTGTGGGTCTGGATTCATCGAGGGAGATGGGGTTAAGCCCATAAATGAGGTCACTAACAGCGACAACTCAATCCTTATTTGGAGACGTAGTCCCAATGTTGGTTCAATATGGTAGAAACAAGCTGGACAAGTGACTCTCGTGTGGAGCATCGACCTAGATATATTTATATATCATTATGTAGCATTTGCTACTACCCCTTCTCAATGATGACGATGCTCTTATGATACAGATGCTCTTATGATACAACTGGCTAGGCTGAGTTTTACTCTTAATAAGTCCAACGTGTGTATTGTGGGGGTATTAAATAAATAGTTGTAGTACCCTTTGAGGACTTACCTACGTGAGAGGAACCGTGATGGCCACGGTTGGGGGGGGGGCCTCTAGAAACTCTCATGAGTCGGTTTTTTGTGAGCATGACCTTTAACGCTCAACCCGCTTGGCTCAATAGATGAAAATGTATTATGTGTGTTTTTATCAATACCTGATTCAAAGGGCCCAATTCAAGGCCTAGTCCATTATGTCCCTCAGGTGGCGATGAACTCACTAAGAAAAGGTTCAAAACCGAAAGCTACCTCTCCCGAATTCACAACACGAAAGGTTGCCCAACCTATATTTATTTTTTGATTTATTAATTTATTTATTATTTTTTGAGTTTTCAGTCAATATTGCCTTTTAGGGGGGACTGTTGGATGTTTTGTTCATGAAAAGACAATTTTGCCTTTGTGGATAGTCCCACATTGGAAAAGGAGATGAATAGTATAGGGTATATAATGATTCTCTCCTTATTGGGCTTTGAATAGTATTTTGGATTTTGTGGGCTTTGCATATCTATCTCACACACGCGCGCGCTCGCACGCATGCCATGCCTCACCTCGTTGGCACGCGCGCGCCACGCCGCATCGCACACGCATACATTTTTGCTTCTCAAGCTTTTATTTTGCACGTTTTACACGTTTTGTAACGGCTGCATGCGGGTAACGGAGCACGTTTTACACGTTTTGTAACGGCTGCATGCGGGTAACGGAAGCGAGATTCGTGCGTAACGGTTCCTTTGATTCAGCGGGGGTTACACTTCTCCTCACCTATATAAGCAGCCGTAGACCTCATTCAGATATACAACAACGAGAAGAACAACTTCCAAAGCTCTCTTTCTCCACTCTCTTTTCTCCCAAGTTATTTCGGCTATACTTTTACATCTATATTTTGGGCAACCGTTTTCTTCTGAGCATAAGCTCTGTGACTCACGCCCAAGCACAGAGGTTGGCCGATTCCGGGAGGTTTTACCGCTAGGGGAGAGGGGACAGATTGCGCCAGGGTGATAGGCGGGTCCTCAATCTTCTAGGACAGTGACATCACGACTGCTCCCGATCAGGCCTGAATTTTCTAACTCTTTACTTTGGATTTTATATTATTATTATATTCCTGTTTTGACAGTAATATATGCGTTGGTATTGGAATATCACACACAGATGGATATGATGCGACCCACAACTAGTAGCTGGATGCGTACCACACCCACCAATAGATAGTTATATCCATAGTGCCATGATTGAGAGCGATAATGTAAGTTTCTAAACTAAATTAAAAAGACAATTCTTTTTTGTCAATATATTATTTCCTAACTTGTGTATATATTGATTAAATCGCAGATCAATACTTTTGATGAGATTGAGGCTGATATAAATAAGCATATTAATGAGATTCAGGATCCACTAGTGTTAGGGTTCTTCAATAGCATCAGACAGAGAATAACAAATGTGTTCCATAGAAATCATGTCGACGAGTTTGAAGGATATGAGGACAGGTCATGCCAATTTGGTAAAGTGTACATGCGAAGACGTAGGACAGGTCAAAGGGCGGCGCGTGACGACGGAGTCGACACTTCTCATAATGCGACACATGCTGATGGAGCTGGCACTTCTCAGCCTCATACACAACCGGATACTCAGATCATCGAGCCTCATCAACATGGACAGAGGGGACGGGGAT